ATATCTATATGTTTCATTTTAATTACCTATCGTTATTGAACCTTTTTCCAACATTTAAGCACTCCGTTTCTAGATTTATATTAAAGCAAATATTAATCATCATTAAAATAAAAAAAAACTTAACTCTGTGTATAAAAGATCGAAGAAAGAAGTTATTCTATTAGTAACCGCGAACATAGTCATTACAGATTATCATCAATCCACGTAACTCAGAAATATTATCACTATCACGCTCCGCGTCCGCATATTTCTGCGTTATAACGAATAATATCCCAAGACAAACGCAATAAAAAATATGTAATTGCCATTTCTTCTTCTACCGTCCAACGGTATATTCCCGCTGTTCCTTTCCGGGTTCTTACGATGCGCATAAGTTGTCATTCGCACTGGTCTCTGTCGTGTCCGAGTACCAGGGTTCGGGTTGAAAACATATTATTCTACACGAATATGGTAATTTTCTGTCGGAGTTTCCGAACAAGAAATCGACCGGTTAGCAACGACGTCGTGGAGTGTTAGATAATACGCAACACTCCGTACGCGCCTATTGAAACCGAAGACATACGAACGGGTATAGTTAGGGGAACTCCCCTCCGTTCGCCAGCTCGCAAGACGGAACCGAGTGCGGTTTGCGCGCATAAGTCATGGGAAACTAGTGGCGATGATTACGGCGTTTGGCGGCGGTGGTACGTGCTGCGAAGAAAGGTGTCGGACGACGATGATGATGATGAGGAGCTCCCCCTTGCCTTGCTCACTCGCACTGCCGTTGCCGCGTAGAGTCGAGGTACCGTTGCGCCGCGGAGCGCGTGCTATCCCGTTACGTGACCGACCGACCGACCAAAACGGCCGTGGTCGGTGGTTGGCGGTGTGGTGGCGGCGGCGGCGGTGATGGGGTCGGAGGGGGTGACGTCATCCACGGCGAGTAACCCGTTATGCGCGATTCGCCGTACACACGTAGACGTAGATGTATGCGAAGCAGTGTGTACAATCATAGCGACGATAATGCGCGAGACGAAGATATTTCGGCGCGGTGATGGCGATTACCGTTATCCGCATAGCGGCGTTTTTCGGTCACCGCGGCAGTAGTTTTTTTTTTATTAGTTTTTTTTTTCTTCTTCTTCTCTTAACGTCCGTTCGTGATTCGCATATTATGACGATGACTACATAATATAATATATATATACGCGTACTGTGTACATGTAGTCCGTAGTAACGGATTTCTTTTTCGCAGTCGAAATTTACACACAGCTCATTACCATTATTAAATCAATGGCGGACTCTCGCGCGGACCCCGAGTTATACTACTACACCCGATCGCTACTACCGTTCGCCTGCTACGTAGTAATACGATGTAAAGCGTATCGCACGTTAAGAATCCCATTTATTATTATGCGTCAAACATGTTCGGCCGTAATTGGCGTTCATAAAAATTCGTAATACGTTCGAGAGAACCGTGAACTCCTGTACTCGATAAAACACACATACATGTAAATAAATATAAACGAATAGATGTATTACGATTTTTGATACGAATTTTGATATATATATATATATATATATATATATATAGACGTATAATATATCACATAATGTGTGTTTGTTTTTTTCGATATGTGCAGCTATTGTGTACAGATGTTGGTAATGAAATATTACGCGACGGCGGAGACGTTATGGTCTTAGTTGTTACAATACCGTGTTTTAATATTATACGGTATCACGGCGCAGTTGGGTCGCGCACGAGTCGCATAACATTATAATATTATCGCACGCCCACGGTTCGCAAGACGCAGCCGTTCTGCAGCAACGTTCTATGTTAAGTTTTATAATTTTTATCGTAAGTACCGTTATTACTCGTTGTTGTCATCGACGTCGTTTTGACGTACGTATAAGTATTTCGGCGTACCCCGTCGACCGGTGCATTCTCGGTAAAACGGAATTATTACCGTATGATATACCAGTAACATTTTAACTATATACAACTAGGGGCCTCCAAACTTTTTTATTCAAAGGCCACAAAAAATATAAAATGCTCTTAGCGGGCCAAAAGTTTATCAACATAAATCATTCTTGATTTTTACCAAAATATAGGCATATAAATATGTTTACTTAAATATTTTTTTATAAAATATTGTTTATAATATATTTAAATATACTTGGTATTAATTTTATTGTTGAAATAATATTTTTATTAATGAGAAATATGAAATTTATGTTTTTCTCATAATATATCGATCGAATTGCGATTGTATGTTACTAGTTCCAATTTTTAAAATTAACTCCAAATGTTTGTCAGTCATGACCGATCTATATTTTGTTTTGGTGTATTTCATTTTGGAAAAAATTTGTTTGCACAAATAAGTTGTAACAAATACAAATATATATTCAATTTGCAAATTTTTTTAAATTTGGATATCGTGTACTAACTACCATTAGAAAACGCTTTTCCTTTTTTTGCCAATATATGTGAAATACGAAAACTAGCCTTCGTATCAGGTTCAATGATATTATTATGTTTTTAAATAAAAATTGTTGTGATGAAAAATTATTTTGAAATGACAGCAATTTATCTCTCTGTAATTTCCCAGTAAATTTGAAAAAAGTTATCTTATGTTTCGTTTTATAATGCCTTCTAATATTGTAATCTTTAAGTACAGAAATACTTTTTTTGCAAATTATATATATTATTTTGTCACTTGGATAAATGACCAAATAATCCTACGCAGAGATGTATTTAGAGTTTAGGTATAGTTTTATTGCCACCTTTACACGTATACGTATACGATTTTCAAGAAAGGTAATATTTATTATCTATGAATTTTACGTGATCAACTATTGATAATATTATCATGAAAATAAAAATCGTCATGTGGTCACTGCGCAAAATCTTTAAACATTAAAATTTTTCGATTGACGAATGAAAATAGATGATGGTTACTAAAAAATGCTGCCAGTCTTTGATTCCAAAAAAAATGTGCCGCTCGGAGCGATGGTACACACTCACCCCTCCCCATAAATATGTCCCTGATCCAACAACCACTTTTCATTGAAAACACGACATTCTGAATCTATTTTCCTCTTCAATCCTCTTCCTGACATGTCAAATTGATGGGTATTAAAGCACATTGCAGACGTATGCATAAATAACTGAACAAACATTGTGAATTGATTTTATACTATAAAATGATCATTACGTCGAGTTGTTATGCAATCGTCATCCCGAGAAGCGGCCGCCCACGCTACTGGATTTGTTTTAGTCGTCGTGAACAAGGTTTAATCATGTATATTTTCTCTTTGATGATAATATATATATTTGCGAGCAAACAAAAGGTTTCCTTGGATGTCCGAATGTCTCTACATGGTTACATTGATTAAAGACTGTTCTAAAGTTTAACATTAATTAAAACTATATATTTTGCTTATCGAGGCGTCACGAAATTACAAATTTATCAATCCTCGTGTACTGCAGAAACCAAAAAAACTACTGAAAAATTAATGTATGATATTGAAAACACAATTTATTGTAACACAATACCATGGCTGTATCTGAATAGTGTCGAACGTATTTTCTTATGCTGCAATTTGATGTTAGATAATGCACTAATCAATCCTTTTTTCATTGAAAATATTAATTAATGCGTCTCCTTTATATAATTTGTTATGTTTTTACGTTTATATGTACTTTTTTAATTAAATATTTTATAGAAGATTAATTGCTCCAATTAAATTTGAATTATAGTTGCAAATTTAATCAAGTCTGTTCTTAGTCACATCATGTGAATTCATTTCTTTCCTGGGTAATTTTTCTCCTACATAGAACTCTGATTGGCCTTGTATAGTACGAAAACCATTACGCAACATTCTCGTAAACAAAACTCCTGGTCGGAAAATCTATCGAAATACGAAAATCTAGTTGACATGTTTGCCACCGGCATGATAAAATATTAAATGTCTTGTCCACGTATCACACAATGGCACACATACAGTATGAATTCATAATACATTAGTATTTATATATACACACGAAACCTTATCATATATAATGTACTTAACCATAGATTATAAATACTAGTATTCATAATCAATAATACAGCGCATCCTTTTTGATACTAATAAGTGCACGTTTATGACCACGCGTATAAATAAACGAATGCACAGCTGTCTTCCACCCCAACTCCATTCACTGATAATGACTGGTATAAAAGCAGTGTTGACGATAATATCGAACTTTCAGACTGCAGAACTAGCCGATCGATAATAATAACAACATACCACGGCCGCCACCGACGACAGCTGTGTGAATACAAAAAAACTTAAGTAATATATATATATACTGGAGTACAGCGCGCACGCCTCTTCGACCATCGATCCGGTGCGCGCGCGCTCGCTCACAGGAAAGGGTGGTGGCGACAGTCCTCATTATCATCCTGCTGTCACCCTTTCCCTCGACGGGTCGTACCCGCTAGCGACGACCGACTTACAAGCAAGTGAGCGCGCATGCGTGCACATTCTTTCACGCACACACATAAACACACACACACACACACACACACACACACACACACACACACACACATACACACACACACACACATGCATACACACAAGCCCGGATATGCACGCAAGTTTACAAGCGCACACAAAACGACGACATAATATCCACCAACGGGATTGGTAATTGTGAACGAAGCTACGTTCGATCGAGCGCCTCCATCACCACGGGACGGTCTGTAAACATTGTAAACGTTTACGCATATATTCATATGTACAATATAGGTGTTACGGGAGTGCGCGTGCTCCCGAAAACCCGTAAAACCACTTGATTGTGCGAGGCGAACCCTACGTACACGCGACAGTAACGCGCAATGAAAAATATTACTATTTCTGTACGAATCGATCGAATCCCACTAAGACAGTACAGGGAATGCACTCGACAAACTACGAAAACAAATAAAAACAAACAAAAACTCATGATAGTATTTACGTGCACGCGTTCATCGTTTTACCTGTACTGATGGCCACAGATAACGGTGGTAGGGGCAATGCGGCCGTTGTTGTGATTGCAATCGCTGGCGGCGGTGGTGGCAGTGGCGGAGGTGACGGTGGAGGTGGAGAAGGCGAGAAAAGTCGCGAGCATAATGGCACGGAAGCCGGAACGAGGGGGAAATTAGCCTCGTCCACATCGGCAACGACGTCGTCGGCCACGGCCACCGCCTCTTCCTCGGCTGGTTCGGTCGATGTCTTCGCGTCGGCTTCTGTCTTTGCATGTACGATGACAATAGTCGGGGCAGTGGTCGTAGCCGCCGCGTTGGTAACCACCACGATGCCCGACTTTTCCTTCATCGTCCCGTTACCCCGCGGTCGTCGCGCTGGACGCGGTGGCTGCAGCGGCCCCGGCGGTGACGGTGGTGGCATAAATGGTTGTGGCGACTACGATCATCGTGAGGGTTGACCGTGTTCACATGATATTGTCGTTTTGCTCACCGGTCCTCTGTCCTCCGTCACGAGCGATGCGGAGGCGTTACGGAAATATAAACAATACCCGATCCGAAGCGTACGGCCAAATATCGCGACGGTCACGCGGTCGAGTTACACCATGTAGGTATAATACAATTATATAATGCCAAACTTTATTGTTTCAGTTATGATTGTTTTTAGTGTTATTATTAACTTCATTACTGTATGTCGCGAATAATTGTACGTAAAACAAGATGTGTACGCGCGCTTTGTACTGAACGAACACACGACCGAGGAAACAACAACGACGACAGAGTCAGGCGGCGATGAGACAGGCCATCGTCGTCGTCGTCGTCGAGATGCGCGTAGGGCCTAGTACGTAATGCGTGTGCGTGCACGGTGCGTCGGCGTAGGCCTGGTTTATCGAGCGCCGGTTGCCGCCGCCGCCGCGCCGCCGCTGCGCCGTCACCGCCGCCGCCACCACAGCCGCCGCCGCCACTGCCGGCATTTACGTGGTGGTTGATGGGACATCGTGGCAAGGAAAGGCAGGACGTGAAGGGCTCGATGAAGGGGAAAAGCTTTCGAAGATGGCTCTTTCGTTGGTCGGCCGAGTTGATCCCGCTGCTACCACGGGTCCAGAAGCAATATCCGTGATTTTAAGCATCGGCTATTGTTCACAACACTTGTTATGAATACGGACGCTATACACCGGGATAAAATCATTATGGGATCGGAAAAACTAACCGTATGCCATGGAAAAAATTATGACTTAACAACAATGTCTCAAAAGTGATATATCGGAGACTGTAGTAGAAGGGTATAAAAATAATTATTTTACCGGTACACTTAAATCGATACACCCCATAATTTGTATAGTTATATTGATAAGATTTACGTAATACATTTTTTACTAGGCAGGTTTACTTTATTACGTGGCATATAGATATACAAACGATATAAATACTATACATTAACAACAATATTAATAATTATAATAATAATAATAATAATAATAATAATAATAATAATAATAATAATATTAAAAATTAATAATAATAGAAATAGTAATAATTTTTAATAATGATAGACAACTACTGTAAATATCATTTGTTCGTCCATCATTACATGCGTTATAACGCGATTTTTTTAATTTTTATTTAATTCCATTTTTCTACATAATTTAAAACTATTGTACGTAAAGTAAGCACATACCATATAATATTTATATTATATTTATAACTTCCTAATCGTCAACTGAATAACCGACGTACGTGCCGTGTATTCTAACCTATACTTGATTCGTATGTAATAACTATGTATGATATAATAGAATATAATAATTACAATGGTAATACATTTTAAAGTGATGGTTGATTTCTAACCGAGTAATTAGTTAATAGGTACTTGTAGTGTGTACTCATCGCGCGTGCAATACATTATAATGTATGAAATGTATTCACCTATGTCTCTATATATACTCGTATCACCAATGATACGCGTCGGGATAACGGTGGTGTATACAAGCAGGTATTAATATTTTAACTTTTTTCTTTTTTTTTTTTTTTTGCCATGCGTGCATAGTTAAAATCGTCTACCAAGCGAAATACCACAAAATTTCGGAAACACAATACGAATCTACTACAAAACGTATTGCCTGTTTAATAATAATATAATATCGTCGTTATATACATAAATGTATGAATTTTTTGCTCGTGGCCAACCGACGCATCAGCAAAATGACGACATATGTACACGGTCATCACATAACTATGTTTATAGTATACATATATATGTGTGCGTATATATTTACCAATAACGTTTGTATATATTATACACCGATACAAATATTATATTACGACGGTAACAAAATAATACGGAAAAATGCGTACTACTACGGCGCGTCCATTTACAATTCAAGCAGGTCGTCGTACCGACTCAAAAATGTACAAAATAATAATAATAATAATAAAATACGTTTGATTAGCACCCGTCGGCAGTTATACGTAGTGCCGAAATCAATAAAAATAAATCGTGGTTATAAAATGCCCGAATACGATCTCAAACGCAAAAGTTAAGATAATATATATATATATATATATTCACTTGTGGGTGTACTTGCAAAAAAAATATATTTATAGTTATAATTAAATATAATATAATAATGTCTTACCTCTGATAGTACTCGGCATCGTTGCGATCGTTGTGCGTCTGAGCTGTCGCTACAATATCGTATGCAAGTTTTATTGAATTGAACTTTACTCGTACACGGGCTGTGCTGCAGTCTCCGTGCGACTTCTCGAATAACGGAGTGATTTCAACGCGTCAGTTGTAATCAAACAATTTTATACCAGCGTTCAATAAAAGCGATTATTATAAAATGTCACTGCTATTACAGTATAATGTGTATTAGTACGATATTTTATAAAATTTTAAGTTATACAATTACGTTAAGAATAATATATACGAATACGAAAAACCACCACTATGTTAATGATAATAATAATAGTAATAAAAAAATAAATAAAGTATTAATAATGAAAAATCCTCGCCCGAACCGAGTAGTCGATTATTTTTAATAAATTATTACAGAAATAATGAATATTATTATTATGAAGACGCGAATGTGCAAATGCGATTCGTTAAAAAAATGTAAGTATGTTCGTCAGCTACAATTGCTGCGAGTTGTCCACCGACGGTACTTTGACGATGACGACGACGAAGATTGGATTCCGCTGTGCTGTAGAAATAATATTGCGCTTTCGGGCTGCAGAGGAGGTCCGGTGCTGCTGGTGCTGCATGTGCGGGTGCTGTCGGTAAGCACTAGAAATTCCGCTGGCCCAGACATGGCGAACCCGGTAAAGGTGAGATTTCCGCGCGATGATTGTCGTACATTTAAAAAATTAGCGGAACAACGTGTGTATATGTATATAATAAAGGTTTCAAATACGAATGTTCCGACGGATCGCGGGTGCGCACACGGAAGGTTACGATGATGTGCGATCACGCGATGATAATATGTGGTCGGTCGTTGTTTATTTTTGTTCGGACGACGTTCGTCAAAGTATAATTGTTTATTTAACAATGTACTCGATGGGATATCGCGAACGAAAGGTACACGCGTGCACGACAAGATGGCCGTGCAACGAAAAGCTTAGCCGGAGGAACGCGGTGCGAACGTTTATTGCGTTTCACGATATCAGACACGCGGCGGCAGTTTGCGAATTTTCAACGAGAAACCGCGACAACTGTTGAGGACCACGGCAGGCATTGAACTTGAAACCTAAGGCGGACCGTCGCCGCTGCCGCATGTCGTACCGCTTCGACGGCGCTCCCCCCACCGCATGGCGCTCGAATACAGGAGAACCGTTTTCTTGTAGTCCCGACGGCAAACCAACTCCCTCCCCGAAACGCGTACGCCAACACTCACGGAACCCGCCAAAAACAGTGAATTTTACTGTCCGAATGATGTAAAAAAAAAAAAAAAACAGAAAAAAAAACGTTATTATCATAGCGGTATTATTAATTTCAGCAAATTACCCGCGCGTGTGTATAATATATATATAGTGTATTCTGTATCACTGCCAGTGATGACTACATTACAAGAATATTACACAAAATATTATTATTATATGTATATGAAGTCGGTCGTTGCGGCTTGGTTGTAAGCACACGACCAATAAAATGCAATCGTATGTATATAATAATAATAATGCGATTTGTTTATATATATATATGTATGGTAGGGATGACGCCGACTACGATTTCTAATAGAATAATAATAACATACGCTTGTGTACAGTATAATATATTGCATATTATAATATTTATCGTGTGGAGCAAATGCGCGCATACATTTCGGGTACTCGCAATTATTTGTCTCGATCATTTTCCACCCAATCGCATATTTCATAAT